CATCTGGTTCCCTATGGCAAAAGTGTTTCGATTCCAATGGTTTTTATTTCGAATAACAATGTTGCGTTTGAGCCAAGATATGTGCATGAAAATTTTACGATTAAAAACTACAGTAACTTTGGTACAAACCTAACAAATGCGGCCATAGATGCCCTGTTTGCAGGTCTGCAATAGCTGTTCCCTAGGCAGCTGCAAGGTGTTCAGTTTTTGAGATATGTTGGGCTTGTCTTCCTCTCGCTTCCGCCAGAAGACGTTGAAAATCAGCCCGCTCACCTGTAGTCTCTTTATCTAGGTGCCAGGTGTCTGAAGCGGGCTTCGCGAGTTTTTCGGCGTAGGATTCATCCAAATCGACCTCCGGGGTGATTCCGTATGGTGAGAAGGAGGATGAAGATAGACTGGGCGATGAAGCGGCGGGCTGTCGCCAGCCTTCGTCAGGATAACGTACGCAGTGTGTGTTGACATTCAGCATGACTAAATAGTCGTCTTGATGATCACTCAGATGGGAACTGTGCCACGAGAGGAGGAAAATCAGGCCTGTGGGGTTCGACTGGAGTGGTGGGTGGACCTCTTCGGTCAGAGGGTATTGTATGGGGCACTTGCGACTGAGAGAGAAGGAGGGATGTTGAGGCCGCGTGCGTAATTGAAAAAGCTGAGCAGTTATAGAGACGTTTCCTAGCTCCCATGACGTCCCAACTGCGATCTTGCAAATGTTTTTATGCAGTCATTTGCTCGGCAGGGAAATCGGATGCGGAGCTGCCTAAGCAGCTTTGGAAGATTGGGGGAAGAGAGTGCCATATCCGTGGCACAAGCAAGAAGTGTCTCGTCCTCTGGCGCAGACCAGTTGCACTGGTGTTTGAATAGCCGCGCCAGACCATCTGTGTTGTAAGCATCCGGATGGACTTGACTGGGATGCTGAGCCAACCCACGCTTGCTTTTAAACGTTTTAATACATGTCGAGCATTGAAAGTCCGTCCAGTTGACAACGACAGTATCGGACAAAATCCCGTTACGTTGCTGCGGCAGTAAGCTAGGTGGTGAGCTAAGCACACGCTTGTGGAAAAAGCGCGGGCATAAGTCACATTAATGCGGGAATATGGCGTCGGTCGTTCAGTCTGGTAAATTGTCCTCTTGCTATAACTGAGATGACTTGAACGCCTGTTGAGGCGGTGCGGTGTTGATGTTGCTGTATTGGTATCGGCCAAGGTGTTTGGCTGCTGGGATGATACGTTTGGGGTATCTAAAGAAATAAGGTAAGTGTGAGATGAACGCAATGATGTGTAAGGCGTGGTAGGCGAGCGATTCCGATGGCTGGGATAGACTTCGGCAGAGGCCAAGCCGTTCGAGAGTGTTGAACAAGAGCCAGCAGGTCTGCTGTCCTGGCAATTCAGTACAGGTGTAGGGAGACAGGCCGAGACATGCGCCGCGGGAAATATCTAGACCCCAATCTGCGGCTGGGGATTGCGGGTGGATGGGTTTTTACTCGCAAGATACTGTGTCTCGGAACAATAGGAATGTCGGAAGATGTTGTGTAGGGTGGGCAACTGCAGTCCGGGGTTTGCACTACCAAAAGAGTGGGCGATGCGTAAGAGGCCTACGTCGTTGTTGGTGAGGTTCCTGCTCTGATGCGTGAAACCCACTGGACGTCTACTTTCTTTGACCGTTGTGGTTTGGTCCACTTGAGATGCTGCAACCTTCTCCTGATTGTCCCTGGTCACCTCGTTGGAAAATGCTGGTGAAGGCAGAGCAATAGATTCTTCAGAGTTCTACGGAATGCAGCTCATTGGCTAGCCGCATTAACTCGGCGTCTTCCTCCTCCGACCAGAAGACGCTTCGAATGGCTCTCCTCGATAGTCTTCGGGGTATGTCCGTCCGCGGTTCATTGTCAACCCTCTCACTGAGGTGAAATATGTGCCGCAGAGGATAAGAGGATAGGCGTTGGCTCGCCGACACGACGGTGGTCTGGGAGATGCCCTGTGTGATATTCTATGTGGATAGCCAATTCATCCGCAGAGACATAAGAAGCACCACAGAGTATACAGATGTGCAGAGTGGATGTTGTGGTGACAATAGCTAGAGTGGAGATAGCAGGGGATGTGGGTGGGTGGAGAAAGTTATGTAAAAATCCATGTCAAAATCCTAGACGGAGAGACACGAGGGTCCATAGAGCTCGGGCAGGATGTAGGTAAATAGAGTGATGCTAATAACTACAAGAACAAATAAACATCCCCTGGTGAAAGTCACTTAATGTGTTAAAAATGAAACTATGGAGTTTAGCCGACATACAAGAGAACAGTGGCGGTGGTGTGCAGATAAATATAAAAAATAACAAAATAATAGCAATAATGAGCATTGAGTCATGAATGCGTCAAACATAGTAGGTGTAAAAAGGAGTAAACCGCTAGGGACAACAGATAATTACTTCGAATAAATGTAGTGATGAAAGAGTTCCCGCGGGGTGTTGATACCAACAAGTCGATAATTTCTCCGTTGTAATGTAGTTGCGGGTCAAAATCTTGTGATATTAGCACAATGAAACAGAGAAACAAGACCCTGGACAAGAGAAACGGGCGAACCTAGTTGTCAGAGGCACAAAAATTATGTTACTAATAGCTGTACAACTAGCAATTAACCAGCCAAACTGGAGCACGCTAAGCTACCACCACGAAAAATTGTCGAATTCAGGGCAAAACAGCTAATAATGATGAAAATACGAAAAATGCACTTGTAACTTCTAAACACCTGCCCCGATTACTAGCAGTTAATGATTATTCAACGCAGCACCGTAAGCTCTGCCAGCTGGTGCTTGTGTGGCGTTATTGACCCTGACTTGCCAGTCAAAATACTGGGGAATAATGTGAAAAATACGAAGAACATGGTATTAACTTTGCATCCACTGCCCGTACTACGAAACCAATTATACCTTTGGAAAGAACTAAAACAAAACAACACAAATGGTAGAAAAATGGAAAGAAACGCGGCCCTAGCTCTACGGAAATGCACTCTAAGCAAATCTACTGTTCATGTGTTAGTAGTATAATGGTCTTGCACTTCCAGCTACGTCAATATAACATATTCCAAAAAACTGCGGTTGAGCTTCTGAAACGTCTGTTTCCAAGTCACAATATTTATTGTGCGTTTATTGCCTGCTCCTTATCTAGACGACAAACACACGCTGAGATTGCGGCTTGCAATCAAAACACACAACGAGTGCTTTAAAATGACCCCTTCAACCAAACTCATTAGGTTGGTCTTTGGTAACTTCGCTTACTTGCGCCCATAACACCATGATTATCCACTAATCACTGCGTGATCTTAACCATGCATTGATGCATTCATTCAGACTCAGCAGAAGTACCAAGATGACAGGTTATAGACCACACGTGAATCAAAACTACGGCACTCCCGAAGTCTGTCTTGAGTGTCATCTCCTTCGGGTGTGTTGATTGTGGAGGGCTACCCGAAATTCAGCAGTCACTGTCCTCAGCCTGACTTGCACCATAGTGATAATATACCATCTTGTGCGTTTCATTACCTGAACCGATGGAAACGTGAAGTGAAGCTAGTCGACTATATGCAAATTCATCGCGTAGCTTGAACGCATATCGTTGAACGGAAAGCAATGCGAGTGGACGAACATGATAATTTTCTTCTTGCTAAAGGCTGTTAAACGCCAAGTTAACCAGCGCGGCACTCTTGTGTAAAATTTCCATCCATCAGCCGGTAATTAACGTGGCACCAACAAACCAACCTGGGCGACTGCAGCTAAATACTCACCCGCCCTGGGTGCATAAAACAATTTCCTGGCTTAACTTGTGAACGAATGACTTGTGTGGGATCAGAACCTGATGGTTATTTACTCACATCAAATGAGCGGAAAGTTACGATGCAGAGGTGCACCTGTACAGTCACCCATCCGATACCGAAACCCTTTTCGTTTGCTCTACACCATCACAAATGCTATGCATACAAGCATTAGTTAACACTCTCTTATAGCATTCAATCGAGTCGGCTACATAGAACGGCTAGATATCTTGCCAGCATTCGGGTCGCTTAGTCTCATTCGGACAAGGTGTAGACAACGATCGAAATATCCTCGCGCGAACTAAATTTGAACCGCTGCTATAACGGCGTTTTCCGCTTTCTTTTCAGAGGCGCGCGTTAGTGTTGTAACTGAAGAAGAGCAAGAAGACAGAGAAGATTGTTAACCGAAAGGTTCTTTACATTCTCTTTATAGTTGTTCTCCTTTTCTGGTGACTACGTATTACGTAAGAGGATTTCATGTTTACTCTTGGACTTCTTCTAGTGTGTCTGCTACAAAAGCACGCGGGAATGTTTACCAGGTATTTAACGGTAAAAGTGCCAGCAACAAGTTAAGAGACACCGTTATGACAAGGCAGTAATACCTTCAAAAAACAACAGAGCCACAGCGCAAGAGCGCTGCAGCAAACATTTCTTAATAGCTGGCTGGTCCAAACCCCTTTATTGATTCTCTCCTTATCCCATTTGCGTAAATGTTAGTCTGGTCTCAGATAACCGCAGAGGAACGCGGTTTGCCGTAAACCCATCTGGGAGCTCACAAAATAGACTACTGTTCCCCACTGCCTCCGTTCACCTGTTTATTACTTATCACTTATGTTCTAACTGCCTTAAAGGCATTCTTCGATTAATGCATTGGGATCGCAATCTTGTCGAAAATCAACCATATCTACACATACAAATCCAGTGGTAATTCTCAGTCGACTTGCTAGGCCATAGGCAGTAGTAAGGATGTAATGTTAGCAACGTGTTCAATCATTGGTCCGTGTTAAGGTCCTATCGCACAGGCGAACAAGCGTCAAATCCTTCGCAATACCGTTCCTCTGTCAAGCTCATCCCTACTCTATGAAACTTGGAAAAATTGCTGTTGCCAAAAGCTTTGTTTTCAGCCGTTGTACCCTTGAAGAACGCTTTCGGGAAGTTTATTGCTACATCAAGAGTTTAACATCCAACGTTCGACTTACGTATTTACGGTGAAGTCCCATGTATACGTCCCCGTATTGTCCGTCGCCCAATACCCGTTCCAATTTCAGATCCTCTCTATTTATTTCCATTGCTGAAATAACCAAAATGTTCGCATATTCTTGTGCGTGGGAAAATGGTTGGCTGCTGTTAGCCGATAGTGGCATGTTGGCATATCATTGGCAAAGATTACGCCTAACACTCCTGTAGGACGATCAGGTGAGAATTACAGAGGTGAGATGTGCGCGTCCACAAAATATACTGGGTTTCAGTTAAGCAGAGAACGATAAACAATTAAGTCCTCAGTTTAATGGGTCACGATGATTGGTAGGTCTGGAAAATAAGCCGAAATCTATGTGCTAGGGCGTGGTTTCGTTATAGGCTGCGACGCTGGTCATAAAATTGAAATATCCACAAGCTCATGCTATTTACCGCACTTTGCTTCCTTTGCATCGAGTAAACCATCAATGCGTATTCGAGTGCTGTTATTTACGTAACAAAGCGAAAGGGGCAAAGTGCAATATCCAACCAGTTTTCGTAGGTAGTCAATGCGTGAACTTAAAGGTTAGCAGAAGTAAGAAAGGATGTGATTCCAATTGTAGCCTAGTATGTGTCAATGTCCACTTATTTTCAAATGCTCATACTTTAGGCTGATATTACGCTTGTGCTTCACCAGGCGATCATGTACGTGAATCAGAAAACTCAGAATTTCGTCACCGCGTAGGTGTCAACTGCACCGGATGGTTGTCAGTATCTCCGGTTCGGAATTTGCCTGTCATTGCGGCCTCCATGGGTAGAGCCACAGGACACCTGCGCCTACAGAGGGACCACGGGTGGCTTACGTTGCACCACCCACAGTTCCAGCCGCACACCCCATATCTAGTATGGAACCGAAAGAATAGGACCGGGAGGCATGCGGATGGGAGCCACGTTTCATCAACGGAGCCGGCCCACACTCCTTCAACAAGCAACGCGGAAGCAGTCATGCTTAATTGGGAAATCATGCGTACCAGACGAACACAAGGCGGTGATTGGGTCGTAGCCCGTTCCACACTGGATGCAGGGAACCACTCTATGAGCCTAGCATCCTCACGAAGACCGTGCACCCCATCCCCTCCAGTAACGACCAACTGCCTCCTGAAGCCAGTGTAGAGGAAGTGCGTGGGATAAAGACACCTGTACCCTCAGACAACACTGCGATGCAATGGGGTGAGGAGCTACAACAATCTGTGCTATCCAACGCGAAATCCGAGAGGAAAGCTACCCAGGTTTTAAAATCCTTTCGAATTTATGTGCAGGATAGCTCGTCCAATGGTTCATAAATAAAAGACATTGATCTTCCTGCAGACTTTGATTCTGACTGTGGGAAGGCTACTCGATAGTTGGTATAGTGCAAGGATCGCTAGATCGGAACTCAAGTGGTAAGTGGTAGGTGATCCGTCAATGTACGTTGAACCATTTTCCATTATTGCATGACATTGTAATTGACGATAAACTTACCGTTCATGTCTTCTATCAACCTGAAATTGAAAAAGTTTGAGAGTTGGAAGTATGTGAATAACGAATGCGGAAAGTAGAGTGCGTGTATACATACATCCATATTACTTTTAAGAAATTGGATCAGGCACATACGTTGAAGTACGTCAGTCATTTCTATGCATTTTCACCTGCACCTTGTCCTATTCAGTTGCGATGTGCTCTCGAAATCTGTAGTCCGAAAAACCCGCGTCGAGGAATAACTGGCGTTCGGACACCGGTATTGCTTCGACTATTTACTCTAGTAAGCTGTTCTGCTAACTCCTCAGCCTAGCTGGTGCCCTGTTCACGGCGGATCCGGCACAATAAGCTTGTACCAGTGACCGTGCGTGTTGCTTAGTGCGTGCGCGTGTTGAAACCGTCGTTCGTTCTGCTTGAACTCGTAAGTAATGCGCAACCATCGAATCCACGAGGATCCGACCAAATAACTGCCAGCAGCCTATACCACTAAGCCACGTGACGTAATGGGTAAGAGGTTTTTCAGTTATTGATTTATGGTAGGTACAATCGTGTGCGATGATAAAAGAAGCGATTCGACATTACAGTACATTACTTACCGGTAAGGACATCCATTCGGAAGTAACGTTTTGGCATCATCCACAGGAACCGAAATACCCTCTGTTCTTAATCGCTCATCAGTACAATATAATTCTAACAGGTGAACGCATGTGTCAGCCGCTTCCAGGGAATGGAAGGCCAAACTAATTATTTCCGGCTTCTGTTGTCCAGCACAGATTCTATGGATCACCAAGCGCACATTAAACCTTTCTCCAATAGGCAGCCTGGATTTTGATACAAGTATCTGATGAATGCTTGCGAAGTGGGCTAGTAGTCGGGGCTGTAAAGGCAGGGAAAGCAGAAAATGTGGTCAGGCTTCCTGCACTGAGTTACTCTCAGTATGACCTCTGCAGTGTGCTCATTCGCTCAGTCATTAGGAAACGCTTTGACAGACAAGGTGGACAGGGAAATTACGGTGGATTTCAGTATCGAGACACTATCAATAAATACTGTAAAGCGATATATATATATATATATATATATTCTCAACTGTCTAATTAGCAAACATGGGGCTATCAAAAACCATGGAATGAATTACGTAATAAGTACAAAAACCACACGAAGAAGGAAAAGGTTGTATTTGTGCTTTTCACCCACCGTTATGTATTTTCGTATCAGTTTACTGATTGCCGAGCTGATCAGTTGAGTCAGTGAATAAATTCCTGAAAATCTTCCACTGAGCCAGATTTCCCACCTTGTTCCTAATGGTTTCCAACCAGTGGCATTCTTTATCCTCCGCTCCCCAACCCGGAAGACGTATAGGACCGACAAGCTAAACTGAAAGTCAACGTTTTTACATTTTAACGCTATGCGGCAGGTTGACCACCGCGTGATCGCTTCCAGTGCGTCTCTGCACGAGAGAACAGAGGATGCCGTGGTTATCGTTCGCACGGCATACGTAGGACTGGGCCCAGCCATCTCAATTAGGGCAGCGGAACTTGTTTGTCGAGACAGGAAGCGAACATTATCATCTAAAACGCGAAGTCGTACATCGTCATTGTGAACACTGTGTTTTCGCCACACGAGCTCATCTCCGCAGACAACTATCGTCAAAGTTCGAAGTTCGACGCGTGTCATTTACGGTAATCGGCCAGCACTCACTTGTACATAACAGTACCATACACACATTACATTCTACACGTTAGCTAGAGGTGTGAAACACCTCAGCTACTGTGACGCAATACATAAAAGAAAAAGGGATGAAATACAACAGGTGCAAGTCAGTTGATCTATCTCTAACGGATAGGTAACGCTCCGGTAAGCTACCAGCCGGCTACTATGTAGCAAAAAAATTGCTACGCAAATTTATATAAGGTTAAGTAGTGAGAACGTGGTTGGAGGGGAGGCCAAGAGGGATGGAGTGGGACAAAGAAAGTTACAGCACGAACGCCACTGAGGTCGGCTCCTAGCCATATCAGCAACTGTATCCAGCCAAACGTGTTCATCGTCTTTCGGACCCCAACTAGAGAGCCGAGACGCTCCAACCGAAGCCAGCTTCGAAGTGAGGGCCTTCATTACCCTCGACCAAGTCATCACTTGGCCACCCCTCTTCTTCCATCCACACCCACGGTGCGTAAACAACACACGTCGCGGGAGTCGGTGGGCTGGCATGCGTAACACCTGGCCGAGCCATCGAAGCCTAATGCATAAAATAACAGTGCTGAGCTGTTCATTTCCTTTTCCTGTGCCGTAAACAAGGCGTCGAACACGCTCGTTGCTCACGCGGTGTTCCCACCAGATGTGAGCTAAATTGCGAAGACACCGGTGGTCGAACGTAACTAGCCTCTTAATGTCCGTTGATCTAAGGGGTCAGGTTTCGCAACCGTACAGTAGGGTCGAACGTACCGCTGCATTGAACACTCTACCCTTTAGGGCGAGTGTGATGTCGCGCCGGCGCCTTAAGTGGCGAAGGTTACCAAAAGCGTCTCGAGCCTCTGCTGTACGGTTCGTGATCTCATCTTCAATCCCACGGGCGCTGATACAACTTCCCAGGTAGTTGAATTTTGGTACTATTTCTACCTGCTCCTCACCAAGGGTCAGCGTAGGAAGTGATCCAGGCCAATCTTGGAGAAACGCTTCGCACTTCAAAGGCCCGAAGCAAAGCTCGAAGTGATGAACAACCAGTGCTAATCTATCCAGTACCGCTTGGTACGTTTGTGAGCTGTCACAGATTAGGGCAATATCGTCAGCATACTCTAAGTCAAGAAGTCATTCACCTGGGAGCAGATCCACACCTTCTAACTCGTGTCCTGTAAACACGATTTCCATAACTTCGTCAATAGCGAAGTTGAAGAGGAAAGGTGACAGCGGGCATCCTTGTCTCACACCGCTGGAGATATTAAAGAGTGATGACAGCTTGCCGTAAGACTTCACTCTGCCTGAGCTACGCGCGTACAATGCTCGGATAATATTTACATATTTCTCAGGTACACCTTTCCTGAGTAAACAGTTCCAAGGTGCACTTCTATCCACTGAATGGAATTCACCTTTTATATCGACGAACACGACAACGGTGGGCCGCAAATATGTGTGACGCAAAGTGAAGATGTGGTTGATGCAGCCACAACCCCGACGAAACCCGGCTTGCTCTTCACGAATCTGGCTTTCACGAGTGCCAGTCAGTCTGTGAAGGATTACAGTGGTAAGCTATTTGGAGACGATGGATATCAGACTGATCCTCTATGATTTCCGCATTCCTATCGTGAGCCTCTCTTGAAAATTGGGACTATGACGGAGCGGCTTCAGTCGGTTCGGACAGTCTCCTGTTCCCACAGTTTCACTAGTAACTCTTATAATTTATCCACAAGAGCAGGTCCGCTGAATTGGAGGAGGGCTGAAGGAAGATCATCTGCTCCCGCGGCTTTAGTAAACTTCAATAGTGCCATCTCATGTTCGACATCTGAACGAGAGGATGGATCCAAAGGGACAGCCGAGGGAGCAGGGCGATCACTGGCCGGTAAGGAATGGAACAATTCCGACCGATTAAATTGCCTCAAAAGGTGCTCAGCACAATGCTCCAAACGTTTTGACAAGTTGTGCATAGGCTATGCACTCTCGTCACATATAGTTTCACTAACATCAAGTCACCTGCTGCCCGTTTCCCGTATCAGCCGGAATAACTTATAATGGTCACCAAGGGCAGCGGCCATTTTTATCTCTGAAGCACGATGAGACCACCAGGATTCGCGCTCTCTCTCCAGGCTAGCACGGAATTTTGCCCCGAGCTCTTTGCGAGTTTCATTGTGTTCGCTTCCAGCCGGAATATGCTGGCGAGCATCGATAAGTTCCAGAGACAGCGAAGAGACCCAGTGTCCATGTTTTGGCTACTAGACTTACCACATGAGGATTTTCCTGCTGCTAGTAAGGTCTGGTGAACATGCGACCAATGACTTTCAGTTGTCTCCAGTGAGGGCTTACTCAGCACGCATGACAGCGTACTTTGATAGGCATTCATAACAGATGGTTTCGCCAGTTGGCTAATGTCAATGCACTCACACTGTCATCGTGGGCGTCCGCCAAAACGCATCCGCATGTCGGCGCATACAAGTGCATGGTCGGTGTGCACACAATTGCTCCAAATCGAGCGACGGTTGTGGACGCAGCCTCTCCATCGATTATTTATCCCAATGTGATCGATTTGCGTTCATTTCTGGTTCGAGGCTGGTGGGCGCCATTTTAGCCTCCGGCGGGTGCTGTGTCAGAAGTTAGTGCTCGCAAGAAATAAGCGAGTATCTTCACACAAATGAAACAACCGCTCACCGTTATCATTCCGGTAGCCTATATCACGGAAGCTTACATTTCATCAGCGAACAACTTTCCAACTTGTGCGTTCAGACCCCCGCCAGCACAACATTGTCCGAGCTTTTTCAGTGGCGAAGGAGCTGATTCAATGGCTATAGAAGTCGTCTTTTACCGAATCATCATCGCTACAGTTTGTGGGTGCATAGGCAGCGATGACGAATAGACACAAATGTTAGTCCCACGCAACTTCGAAGCTTTGAATAAGCTAGCGAATCGGACCACACACAACCGGCTACTGATTGGAATCCTGCCAACCAGAGCAGCGTCAGCCCCGGGACTCAGGGAAATGCGCACACCAGCATGACCGGTGCTCGAAGTTGCATCGTCACCGGATGAGCGCAATGGGAAAATACTGCTAGTGGCACCTGAAGGGGCTCGCAGAGTGAGTACAGAGCTCGAGTCTTGCAGGTAGGTCTCCGATAAGCAGCCGATATCGATCGTGGGGGGTCTCTAATGTTCGGACAAGAGCTGCCTGTTGACCGATTTGTAACAATGTTCGTAAATTTCGGCACGCCAATCTGAAGAATGATCTAGATAGAAGCCGATGAACTGGCTTGGCCGCGTGCTTGAACTTGGGCTTGTCGACAGGGCTGTACTACGTTTCGCGTTAGCATGTGAGTTTAAACTAAAAGGTAAAAGCCTATCAAAGCAAGGTGAAGGGGGCAAGAATTGAGGGGTTGAAAATAGGGGGATAAAAATGAAGATGGTATGGGACGAAAAGGGTGAAAAAGCGCAAGAAGGGGAATAAGAAGATGGGTAGGCTTGGACAGTAGCATCTAAACCCCTATACTCCTTGCTCCATGCAGCAGATAGGGCACCGTTGATTATCCTCTGCGACGGCCAGAGCATCAAAAAATTGTTTGACGCAAGATTCATAGTATTGCGTGGGCAGGATACTGTCAGGTTGCCCAGGTCTAGACAGGAGAACGATTAGGGTTCTCAAACAAAGCCTTTAATCCAAAAAACCTGACCGCAATGCAGCGGGTTTGGTGTTGGACTACAAGGAGTCCTTTTAAGGAATAAGGAGCCACCGTTATTCCAACCCCCAAGGTGGGGGAACAGGAGGCTGTTTGTCTGGCCTCTAACCATTGACCAATCTGGTATGAGTGGCTCTGAAGGTGCGAAAAAGCACCACCCAGCATAGCTAAATGGATCTTTGAGACACGCAAACCATCGCACCACGGTAAGGTCCAGCCTCATTGCGATGGACATAACAGTACCGCGTGGACACAAATATTGTGGACGCCACCCTGCACCAAGAGAGCAACGTCACGACGACGCCACTGTTGTCTAAAATTGAGGCAAGCTCATTCGGTTTAAACAATACGAAAAGAAGTCTCCATAGGAGTAGTGCCATCAGTAGAAACGTAGCTCTCCAAATAGACAAGGCGATCGATTTGTTCAAGCTGAGAACCTTCAAGAGTCAGCATTGCAGTTGGTGGATGCCAATCTTGGCGACAAAGGTTACGTTTACTACAA